CTGTAATGCAATCCGAAGCGAGAGAGTTTTGATGTGTTTAACTTCTAACAAGTGATGGCTCAAAGCTTAAAATTCGTTCATATTGATCAACATATGTGAGGAAAGAGAATGAGAAGAAGAAGCAATTTAGTGCAATAGATGACGCATGTGCAAAGTTTTACTGTTCTTTTATCTATTCAGTAAATGCTTAGTTTTGCAAAAAATTACAGTCTATTTCAAGAAATTCATAATTTTACTTAATTTTGTTCACCAAAAAAAACAACAAAGTAGCATTTGAGAGATATATTTCTACATAAGACTCTACGGATAATTGATAGTTTGACATAAAGTGAATTTAAAATCAATGTTTTGTCGGTGCATTTTCCCACACGATCTTCACACCATATACACGTAACATCGAAGGGGACGGATATGGAGGAGGACGAGGTTGATCGCGATTACTACCTAATGTTTCCCAGCGCAATACATATCGAGTATCGCTAACATTATTTTGACCGAGATCTTCGAGTATATGAACTTCCAATCCTGGAAAAGTACCTTCTACTTTAAGGAGTGACGGTGGTATGGTTTTCCGTTGAAGTTTACCAGTAGCACTCAAATTTCTCGGATCAATTAACCATGTACCATTGCCAAATTTAATATGGTTATATGTTTGCGTAAGGTTTCCATCACTTTCTTTCGTTACTCTACCAAGCGTGATATCAAAACTCAATGTGCCACCACCACCAAAATCCCAATGCCATAGTCAATTAGTAATTTGATATTTCTTCCATGTATCATTTTCGAGACGTGCTGTCCATGGTTGTGTATAATTATTTACATCGTTCTTATGGTAGCTAACGGTTACGTGTCCTTGTTCGTCGAAGCCAACTTTGGTGTTACCATTAATAATTCCACCTTTTTGCGGTATTGGATCAACGATTTCGCAAGTTTCCAATGTCATTGGCAATATAAGAGGTCTTCCAGCACCCGTCTCCCAAGACACCAAGTCTTTGCTACGTGCATAACTCAAATCATGATTGGTAGAAGCATCTGGTGATTCACGCCAAACCCAAGCTAAATGAAAATAACCATCTGGACCTTTGATTGATCCATCAAAATATGCATTACGTTTGCCTTCGCCATCAGTCAACGGCTTATCAAGTAAACGTTTCCATGTTTTTGTTTTTAAATCGTAAAGATTATAAATCTGATTGCCATTTCCACTCATTCCTGAACGATATGTAAAAATTAATTCATTTTCCGGCCCACGCATAAACATAGGATAAGTAGTACGATTTTCATCGATACCAATCATTCTATTCAATTCTACGAACGTAGAAGAATTTAGTGATTGTGCAGTACGAAAATATATGAGTGGTACAACATGCATATTACCACTTAAATGTAAGTAGCCATCATCATCAATTGCCATTGCAATATAATTATGACTGTCCCAATTTGTAATTGCTGGCAACCTACTGATTGTCCACATGCGCTCACTCATATTGCGCTGTGCAATAGTCATTTGACCTGTATCCTCGTAGTATGCAATAAATTGATAGGGTAGATGTGTTAATAAGACAAAATTAACGGGATGTCCGGCCCCTACTGGAGCTATGTCTAGTGAATCGACCACTATGGCATGTTCAGTTTTATTATCTATCGGTAATACGGCAGTAGGCAGTGCCCAAGCAAAAACAACGATCGCGTCCAACATATACATGCTGTTAAGCAAACTAAGAGTTGCCAAATCTCGTTTTATTTCATCTATGAATGTCAATAGTTTTGAATCTATTATCTCCGTTCTTGTTAAATAAATAAGATGTGTATTCGAGTTATTTTGTTTTGTTACACTATGTACATCTGCATTACATCTGGTTTTTTCTTTGTTATCTAACAAGTTATTTATAATAAAATGTCGTAAACAGCTATGTTCACACATTTTTTTATTCTAATCATATGAAGTTCTAATAGAAAAGATTGTTCAAGTGAAATTCACTTTGCCACAATCCGATATATCTGAGAACAAAATCAAACTTATTGTAATACATGTTATTCATGACTACTCGTACTTGTGTATTAAACAAAAAATTCACATCAAAGCACAGATATATATTTATAAATAAATATAATGTTTCTGTTAATAATACAAAAACTCTTATATGTTTTATTAATATTGAATTAGGATTGTGATAATTTTACTAATGATTAATTAATTATAATTTCAATAAGCATTTGATTATTGCAATAGGAAACATAATGCAAAACTATTGTCATAATAGTGATTTTGCACAAGAGATATCGTCGTTGATTGACTTAGTTGAGTACCATTATATATATAGATATATATTATACAAACAAATTAATATCAAGTGAAGTTTATTCGGCAGTTTCCTATTGCATCAAACTAAACATAAATGGTAATAATAACAAAAATAAAGAGACAACTATATCTACTCTTGATACAATTGTATACTTCTCAACATTTTCTATATTACGTTCAACAAATGCAACGAGTACACTATTTTAATCGTATTTATCAACATTTTTCTTACGACGATACTTAATATTTGTGAAACTGATTGGTTTGGTCGTTTGTGAGAATATAAATTTAACAACGGACAGTTTCTATATGATAAACAATCTTTTTTTGACAATGTCACAAAGAGATTCTGATTTATCGATTTTGTTAGCTGCAACCAATTACATTGTTCCATATTATTTGGTTTTGGTCGATAAATATCAATATCGACTTATGAGTTCTGTTTAGATTAGTGTGAAATATGCGACGGAACGTTATGGAATGGCTCACTTTTGTTAAGGTTATCAGTTTTTCTTTCTCTCCTATTCTCCCTCATATTTATAAGAGAGAGCTGCCAATAGACGACTTATTTCTGGCATGGTATGACTCGAAATGTCTACAACGAAAACTAAGCCAATTGATGTTTCTGGTTTTTTCGAATACATTTAAAATTCTATAACTCTGCATTAATGTATTATTCTAGTTTCAAAAAGATAAGATAATAGCAAGTGCAATGCTTTTGATCAGATCAGTACTATTTTGGAAAATCGAAGAAAAGTAAGCATGATAGCAAAAACGATCAGGTAAAAGAAAATGTACAATGAAAATGTTGGAAATAAATAATACTTATACTAACAATTTAGGATATTTACATTTGATAAACCATTGATCTTCTGCTAGTCAATGTAAGTCCTAACACACTGAATTTTGACTCCCTGTTCGAACAAATTCGACAAAGTAGCCTAGCATAATAAGGCAATGTATCAACATTTAATTTCCAAAACGTGAGATCCAGATTGACGACTCTGATGTGAAAACTTTTCGAAAGTATAGAATAACACATTAGCTGTTGGGAACAATAAGATATGATAATGCATTTCCCAACAGGTTTTGTTCGATAGAATTGAACTATTTTGTTTTTTCGGAATTATATCGATTTCACTACTGAGTTTTCATATGGTCATGGATGATCTCAATCAATAAGTGAACTAAATAAAATAACATCTTTTTTAAAAGTTGCATGAGTGGATGAGATACTTCATATTCACATAATCTTTATCAAAGCATGTTAAATGTGCATTAAGAATCAATGTTATTGAGTCCAGTGATAACTGATCGTCAACATTTGATGATTTTAATGTAAATGAACGAAATTATATACTTCATTAAATATGTTATGATTTTTCGTATTGTCCACTTTTTATGCCAACAATGTATACTAATAGTTGAACTTGTCGATCTTAGATATGTTTAATTTTCGACAAAAAATTAATCAAAAATGTTGTCATATTTTCTATGATTTAAAATAAATATTTTATACTTGTTTATATGTGTCGAATATATATCAATTAATATCATTATATTATTGTCTAAATTCGACAAAACATATTTCTAAATATTATTTATAGGATTCAGTAATAGATTGTACAAATTTTTTCCTAAAAATTGATTAATGTTTCATGATATCTTATCAAGCTAAAATTTTCATTTTTTTTTCCATCAATCTTTTAACTGAAACTTTATTGTTAACAGA